GAAAATTCATTTTTATGCACAAAATCATTTTTCTTAGGTTGTCTACTATGACCATTTTCATTCCTAGGTTTTAGTCTAGGTTGTCTAGTGTCCTTCGGTTGACTAGGTTTTCTATTATCTTCATTTTTAGGTTTCTTATGTTGAACCTTAGATGATTGTCTAGGTGGTGGCTCAACATTATCTTTAGCTTTATTTTTATTAAAACCTATTCCTTCCTTAGAAAAATGCATAGTGTCAAGAAGTAAATTTAAGTCTTTGTGAGGAGTATTAAATTTCTTTACCGTGCTCTCAAGTTTAGCGACTAGCTCTTTTAAAGTTTTGCAAGACCTACATTCACTCGATGAGCTTTCTGGTTTGTCAGCGCTTCTTTTTCCAAAAAATTTGTTTTCTTGTTTAAGTATTTCATTTTATTTTTCCAATTTTTCAAAATCGTTTTCAAGTAAAGAAAGTCGTTTCTTCAGGGATTTATTTGTTTTAGAAGCGCTAACAAATTCCTCATAAAGTTCATGTAGTGCTTCTTGCATTTCTTCAAAAGTGTAAGAGTCGGAGGAAATATTACATACCTCTTGGACGTCGTTGCTTTGATCTTCGTGCGCCATCAGGCAGAGATTTGCAGCTTCGTCCTCCTCTTGGTCGGTTGATTCGTCGCCGGAATCGCCACCCCAAGAGATACAGGCCCTTTGCTTCTTGAAGCCAGGCTTATCCTTGCCGTGTTTGGCCTTTGGACACCTTGGCTTGATGTGGCCAATTTCACCACAGCCGTAGCACTTGGGAGGACCATCGTGCTTCCTTCCCTTCCGCTCAAATTCCTTCTTCATGAACTTGTGGAACTTCTTGATGACGAGCCCGAATTCATGGTCGTCATCGCTTGAAGCCTCTTCCACCGGTTCCTTGGTGGCTTTGAGAGCTATCCCCTTTTTCTTTTGTTCATCCAAAGACGGGGTTAGAATAGTAGATTCATAGGTTTTAAGGTTACCTCATAGCCCGTCGATGGTGACGTTGGAGACTCCAATGGATTCATAGATTGCATCGGCTTTTGACCTCCATTCGGGTGTGAGGCTTCGCAGGATTTTCCTCACGAGATCCTTGTTGGTGTAAGTCTTTTTGAGAGCATGAAGGTCGTTGATGATCTTTGAAAAACGGTCGAACATGTCATCAATTTTCTCACCTTCTTTCATCCGGAACATTTCGTACTCTTGGGTGAGAAAATCGATCTTGGCTTCGCGAACTTGATCGGTACCTTCGTACGTCACTTCAAGCTTGTCCCACATCTCCTTGGCGGTTGTGCAACAGGAGATCTTTCGGTAGTCATCGGGGTTGACCGCGCAATATAGCATATTGATGGCCTTTGCATAGTTTTCAATCTTCTTGATGTCCTCGGCATCAAATTCGTTTTCGGTCTTTGGGACCGTGGTTTCTCCCACTTTCTTCATAGGGATTTC